ATTTAATGAGATCATTGTTGGGGGTTAAATGTCAATATTATTGTAACCCTGGCACACGGCAGTACCGACATGCCACGTCCGAGTGCTGGCATCCTGGGGTGCTCAGTAGCATAAGCCTCACTTGTCTCTCCTAGGAGTTGAAATGGGGCTTTCCAGCAGAGAGGGCACCTTTTACACTTACAAACCCTTTGCAACCACCAATATAATTATTTACAAACATTTAATTATATACTATTGAACTATTCAGTTATATACAGAATAAGATATAACTAAAGGGCATACAAATTATGAATGGCTACCAAAATAACTCTATATACAGTTCACAAAAGGAGCACTGGTGGAATGGAGATAGTTATTTGGGTGCCTACGGGGTTCACAAACTCATAATCTCTCAGGTGTGATATAGGTTAAAGAAGAAGCATAAACAATAATTACACATTGAAGCACTAAAAATTGCTTAATATTTACAACATGAGCTATTGGATACTTATTTACAAACACTACTAATACTTTTATGCACAGTGAATTTACACACAATCCCCAGCTCCTCCCATCGCACCGTGGCGGGTCCTTTGTGACTGGGGTCCTCCCATGTCAGCCCAGGTGTCACTGCATTGCTGGCAGCTGCTTCCACATCTGTGTCCCTGCAACACACAATGTACACTGCCACAGCCCATGGCCCCTGCACAGTGGGCTGCACAGCTTGGGCTGCAGGCTAAAGCAGATACACTTCTCCCATGGGTGAGCACATGGGTGCACTGGGTTTGGCTCCTGCAGCCCTTGCCCAATTATGCACTAACTATGGTTTGCTTCCCTACAAGCAAACCCACATGCTCCTTTGCCCTGTCAGCAGCTCACCCCAGCTCTGGTGGGCTCCAGGGGGAGAGCCACTGTGGCCGGACATGCACAGCCCTCTCTCTGGAGCATGAGCCCTTCTCTCCCCCTTTTCCCTTTCCCTGGGCGGGGAAAACTCCCCACTTTTGAAGAAACCCTCCTAACCAATACAGCAGCTGGGATTTTTGCGGGCTCTCCCTAACTGTCCCTCTCTGATTTCAAACCCCTGGCCGAGGTTTTTCCATTCTTTTCCTCTTTTCGAGATGTCCCTGCCTGGGACAGCTTCATTTTGCCCTGAATACAGGGTCCCCACTGAGATTAATTTCCTTTGCTTCAGTACAGAGACTCTGTTGAGACAACTTCCAGTCAGGTAAGCAATACTTAATGGCTGTTATATTGTTTTAAGGCTGCAGATGGAATAAGCATTTAACACACTAATGGACTGGTATGGAGTTTGCCTGCAGGTTCTTCAAGGCTCAGTCTCAAATAAAGACAAAAGTCATATTCTTGGCTTTGCTAAGACTGCTCACATGTATAAAATTAAAGACTGTTGGACTGGGATCTATGAAAAGTAAGAAGTCCCTATTCAGCCATTTAACAGCTGAGACTACATTCATTGCCCAGCCAAGAATTCTCAAAGGAACATTCAGGTGCTTGGTGCTTCATTTGCAGAGAGAAATGAAAATCGTGCTCCATTTCTCCAACCCTTATCAGAACTCTGTCCCTGGCTTGAAATATTTCAAAACTTTCCAGCCAGGAAGTGGGTTTTCTTCAACATTCTCTTCTTGGAGATTTACAATCTTTTTATTATTACTTAAAGAGACGCCACTGAGTTTAAAGAACAAAAATCCTCATCTGTTTGCAGAAAAGGTTTATAACAAAGCATTTTTTTCTAATTCATTTAATTTATAGATTTAATGTGTTTAATCTCTGCACATCTGCCATCTTAAAGAAAGAAGTTAAAATATGTTTATTTGCAATCATTTTCTCTTTGGGGTGGTTTGACTGATGCAAAAGCTGCAAGGGAATGTTCGCCTAATTTTCAGAAACAGTCCTATTTCCACTAGGGTTTTGTTTAAATCTTATCAACCTCTAGGTTTTGCAAAATCTATTTGTCCGCTATGGGATTGGATCCCCAATTGGCACAACTTGTCACTGCTTCAGTTGTCACTGCTTCCTCATGGCAGGGGAGTTGCACCATTTTATATCCTCTGAAGATCTTGCCTGGGATTTCTTTCCATATCCCACAACCTCCTCATTGATGAAGACTCTGCAGTCAGACCACAGGCTCTGATCCTGGAAACAGTTAGTCATTGTTATAAGTACTCCAGTGATTATTCTCATTGATTTCAAAGTCAAGGTTAGATGGTGGCCCCTACTAAACAATTGCTAATGATGCACAAGTTATGGTAAAATCCAGGTGACTTATAGCTGTGTTGTGCATGCTGAGCTAAAAGGAGTGATGAAGATGTACATACTTCTCTGGGGATGAGTTGTCAGCTGGTATAAATCTGCATCAATGCAGTGAAGTAAGATTGGTAGAAGTGGGTATCTGACCCACTGAATGAGAAGCTGCTGTTTTTTGACACAGTCCCATTTTCACCATGTGTTAGGCAGGAAATGCTGTAGTACTGTGTGTTCTTTCCAGCCCTGTGTACATACACTAGGAATAAACTTGGAATCGTCTTCCCCAGAACCTGCCTTTTTATTTTTGCTTTCATACCTCTTGGGTCATTTGAGGTAACTGTTTGTTTTCCTTTGATCTAGAAGGCAGAAAGGAAACGTAAAAGATAGGAGCTGTATCATGGATGAATCATGGATGCAGTAACCATTTCTTGCTTTTCTAGGTCTTACCCTGATGAAATTGGGCCAAAACACTGGCCAAACTCCAGGTTTACCCATGTGATGAAGCTCAGGCAGGCTGCCCTGCGAACTGCAAGAGAAAAGTGGTCAGACTACATCTTGGTAAATGAGAGATTTGATTTATTAACTGCAGTTGGGCAGAACGTTTTCAGGCAATCATTCTACCCAGGGGCTTGCAACTGCCACAAGGTTCCTTTTTATTAGTATAATAACACTTCTGTTTGCCCGGAATCTGTTTGAGAAGCACCTGTATCATTATGCGATCTGATTGGCGATAGGTTTTGTAAGGCTGCAGGCTGCTATCAGATCCACGTGAACCAGCCTCTTGGATGGAGCTCTGCTGATTAGGACTGTGCTTGCATTGATCACAGTGAACCATCCAGACTAATCTGATTGCAGGCCAAAGGCCTGGGTGGGTAAGTGAGTGTAGGTGATAGGTGCTCTGTTAAAGAGTCCTCAGGCTGAAGCCCAACCTTTATTAATGAAGTTTGATGATAGCTGAAAGTAGTTTGGCAGAACTGACATGGAAGGCAGTCCTCGGAGCAGAAGTGAATAATTATACTGGGCTAGGAGCTGCCATATCTTCTTCCTACATACTGGTCCACTATAGGCTCTAGTAATACAAGCCTCCCTCACAATCTTCTTCCACATGTTCTAGTATAATTGATTTGGGGGGTGTTTGAGAGAGGAGATGAGTTCAGTTTCTCTTTTTATTTGATGGCCTTTCCATAGAGGCACACAGCACTGGATGTACTTTCCCTTATTGGGCACCTGTCCACCAGCTCATTTCATGTAAGGCCACAGTGGAACCATCAAATGGCAACTGTTTCTGGTCACCATCCACCTGGGTTGGATTCCAGCTGGTGACTTAGAAGCAAAGGTGCTTCTAGCCCATTGCTGATCTGTGCAGCCATCAAGCCTCTCCCTCCCCAAGAAAGGAAACTGCAAGTGCCTGTTGCTTCATCTAAGGTGTTGATATTTTTTTCTTTCTTTCTCTTCTTTTTCTAGTTTGTTGATGCTGACAACTTACTCACTAACCCACAGACCCTGAACCTGATGATAGCAGAGAATAAGACAGTGGTGGCACCAATGTTGGAATCTCGCGCTCTCTATTCTAATTTCTGGTGTGGCATTACCCCTCAGGTAAGTGTAGCATTCTGATTAGTGAACAGCTTCTGGTGGTTACCCTATCCATGTGCTTGTTAAGGGCTCTGTTCAGTCCAAGTTTGCCTGTAAAATGCAAGGCCTTTGCCTAAACATGTCTAGTAGTGCAGACTGCCCCCTTTTTTTAAGAAATACTGCTTCATCTCTGATGCAAGTAATGGTGACTTCTAGTGTTCCACAGCCAGCTAAGCCAGCTCTTTCCTTGTATATCATTGCCACAGGGGGCTCCTGGAGATAAGGGGAAAGCACCACCCAGTTATTCAGAAGCCTGGGAGTAAGAGTCTTTGACTACTTCTTTCCAGAGTTTGTTCTGTTCTCTGTTTCTCTGGCTTGAAATACAAAGGTGAAGATTTCTTTTCACGTTTGCCACCCCTCCCATCTGCCCCTGCGTCCTTCTCCTCTCTTGCTTTATGTTGGGAAATAGGAAGGGGCCAGTTAGCTTTGTAAGCCATTGTTGTCATGGCAGAAGCCAGCTCGTGTAATGAAGAGTGGTGAAGTGGACAAGGATCGTAAGTATTTCCACCCACATGGGAGTGAGGAGCTCTGAAGGACATGCAGTCTCAGACAACTGCTAAGATGGGGAAGGGTTCTCAATTGGCCAGGAGT